AAGAAGATAGAGTTGGAAGCAGAAAAATCAATTGAAATCAAGGCCAAGTGAGGGAAGGAGAATGCAAAGTCAGGCAGCAGAGGGAGGGAGGGGCTGCCCAGGAGAATCTTGGACAAGGATGCTAGGCCTGGACCCCACCATTGGATAAACTGGGGACTGCATCCTCAAATAAGCCCTGAATAGTAAAGCTGGTCCCTGATGTTTGGACCAAGCCCTCCTATGTTAAATATACTCCCAGGACTTATTTCTTCCTGTCAGAGCACTTGCTTTGGTTTGTAAAGGTTCATTCTGTGGTGTGAGTCAATGTCTGCCTCACCCTCAGCCAGGAAGCCCTGTGAGAGCAGGCAGTGTGCCTGTGTTTAAGGGTATGATCATGACCTAAGTTGTGGCCACCATGGTGGCAGGTATGGGGGTCACCCAAAACATTTGTGAAATGAAAAACAGAATTATTCAAGATTCCCAAATGATTCATCCACAGCATGGCTTCAACCACCATCTAGAGGCTGACAGCATTAGATTGAGTCTCTCCTCCAGAATCACAAATCCAACAGTTAATTCAGCATTTCCATGCGAACATGTCAAAGCATCTCAACTGCACCATAAGGTACAAAATTGAGATCATGGACTCCCCAACCACTTCCTCCTCCAGTCTTCTTTGTCAATGGGTCCTGTCTACCAGCCTGAAGCCAGGGCTGCTATTCTTCACACCTCCCTCTTCCTGATCCCTAAATCTCTGATCCATCACCAAAGCCTTTCATATATATCTGCTAAGTTCTCTGCATTACAATCACTTCTCACCATAGACCAAATTGGATAAGAAGTGGGTTGCCTGGGTTTGAAAATAAATGCCAGCAATGTGCTTAACTCCCCTGTTAGTTTCCTATTAAAAAGTGCAGGTAATGGTAGTATTACTTCATAGTGTCCTTTGGAGAAGTCAATGACGTGATATACATGAGGTGCTTTCAAAAGTACTAGTTGCTACCACCCCCATCACATCACCACTGCCACCATTGTCACCATCACCACTGTCACTACCACTATCGTCATCACCATTACCACCTCCATCACCATTTATCATTGTTATCACATCACCACTGCCACCATCATCACCAGGATCATCTCCATCACCATAATCATCACCACCATCCTCATCATCACCGTCACTGTGATCGCCACCACCATCAGCAGCATCCATCCCATCTCCATGTCTACAATCCTAATCAAAGTTATTATCATTTCTCATCTGACAGTGCCCCCAGAAACTGCCCACATTCATACTTTCCTTCCTCTAATTTCTTTCCATCTGTAACCCAAATGATCTTTAAAAAACACATATCACTCATATGTATAAGTCAGACTGGTTGTTTCCCACAGAGATGGAGTAAAAACCAAAATTATTAACATCATTTAAATAGCCAGTCTTGAGGAACTCTCAGTCTCAAACTTGCCATGTGCCTTTCCACATTAGGGTCCTCACAGCTGCTGTCATCTCTTGCTGGTTACACTGTTCTCCTTGACTTCTCCTCTTTCCTTCCCCTCATGGTCAAACCTTCTCTGACACGTTGGTTATTCTCACTGTCTTTACTCTCCTAAAGATGGAGTGGCTCCTACCTCCATCTTTCTGCTGAGACAGCCTAGCAAAAAAGTCACCCATGACACCTGTTGTTGAAGTCAGTGAACCTATTTTTGGGCATAATTGACTTGGCCTCACTCAGCATTTGCCTCAGCTAACCACTCTTTCCTAAAGCCTCTCTGCCTTTGGCACCTGAGGCTCTGTTTTCTTGATCTTTCGGCCTGCACATTCTTTTTCTCTCATTTTCCATCAGTCCTCTGTCTCCATCAATTCTTTGGAAGGTGACTTCCCCAGGTCTCCTAACTGGAACTCTCTCTTTCTCTCCTCTTTCCCCATGGATTATCCTGTCCTTTTGTATGGCATCCATTTCATGATGATGACCAAATCCTCTTGTTGTGGTCCTTTCTTTTTCCCGAGGCCAACATTTCTCTAGGGAGGTATTTCAAAATACAACACAGGTAAAGTTGAATCTCAGAATGCCCTTCCTTTCTTTGTTCATACCTCAGTGAATGGTGCCCGCACCCATTCACTTCCTAAGCAAAAGCTTGAGTCATTTTTCTCCCTTTTTTCCCTCCCTACATCTAGTTAATCATCAAGTTCTGTTGGTTCTACTTCCTTGGATGCACTCAAATCCATTGGCTTATCCTTCCCAACACTACTCCCTTATGTGAAGTCCTCATTTCCCTCCTGTATGATGGCCACCACTTCCTTACCCACCTCCCACTCACTAGTCTTCCTTTCTCAGTCCTTTCTGCCCTGCTGTCAGAGTTTAGGGGAGAAGTTCCGTAGATGGTTTTCCAGAGATTTAGTGGTCCAACTTTTAAGAGAACAGTTCCATTGGGCCAATTAGGAATTGCGTGCCTAATGAAGTATCACCTCTGTGGCCCTGACTTAGAGATTGACCAGGCCTATGAGCCTACTTAAGGTTCTGAGAAGTTTTGCTGCAAAAGAATCTCCTCAGAATTGTTAAAATCCCTTCTCTGGGAGCACATTTCTTCTTCCTTCCTTCCTTTTTTTCTGCAATGTTATGGCCTTGTGCCTGCTAGGAAAATGCTCTACCACTGAACTATACCCCTAACCCCAGAGTACACATCTTAACATTTTGCAAAACACTGTGTGCTATTTTATTTTATTTCGTTTTGTTTTGTCTATACTGGGATTCAAACTCAGGCCTTCATGCTTGCTAAGCAGGTGCTCTACAGCTTGAACCATACATTCTCTCCACTATGTGCTTATTTTAAAACACAAACATGATTATCTTCTCAGTCTGAAAATAAGACAGATGAGTGGATAAATACCAAGAGAAGATAATTTGAAGTTTAGTCTCTGAGTAATTGGCAACTTTGGAGATTCCTGAGTAGAGTAATGACCTAATATCCATCTGGCTAATGGATTTCAGCTTTTGAAGCCCTACTACACACTAGGTACTTCTCGCCTGTCATCTCTAATTCTTACAGGGCTAAAGATGTCTTGCTGTGCATGTGATGAGACTGAAGCCCAGATCAGTTACACACTTAGGTCTAAGACCACACAACCAATAAGGATGGAGCAGTATCTGTATGGCAGGCTGTGGTTTTAGCCACAGCTGTTGTAAGAAGCAAGTGTCATTAGGAGGTGATGACACTGGAAGCAAGAAAAGTCAAAAGGCCTGGATGAAAATTCCCAGAAGGCAATCACTTAAGTGCTTGAGTACTAGAAGCCATTCTTCTTAAGCTTGGCTCTCACCACCCTTCCTGTAGACCTGTTGCACCTTCCTCCCCTGAACACCTACCAGGCATTGTGCAACTCCTAGAAAATCTCTCTCTCCCCAGCAAAAAAATGGTGCGTTGGTCCTTAGTGTCTGCACATCTCCAAATTTCTCAGTCTGATGTTCTAGGTCCTTCATTAGCTTTCTTTTTTGATCTTAACTTTAGATACTTTTCTTATAGAAAGCCAGACTACTCACTGTTAAGCAGCCTCTGAGCCTTTGTCCACACTGTTCCCTACCCTTGGGAAGCTCCTTCCTCCCCACAGTGCCGCTGCTAAAATCCCACCCATCCTCCCGGGCCCTTCCACTGCTATTTCCATAGAGCACATCCTACTCAAAACTGACCAGGTGCTCTGTTTTTCAGTACAGAAGGGCAATGAGGTGCTCCCTAAACTTGGAAATTGGGTTCAATTCTGAATATCAAATGAATGAAGTAACAATGGGTGGCATCAGCTACCTACAGAAATGGCACACCCAAAGGACCACTCAATGAGGGCAGGGAAGGAACTAGGCAAGCAACTGTCCTGGAGGAAGGTGGCTGGGGCTCATTCTCACCACTCATTTAAGCTCCCTTATCAGAAACCATGCTTGATGAGCAAATGAGTCCCTCATCAGATCAGCTACAGGAAACAGAAGGAGCCGACAATCAATGGTGATAACAGGCCACAACAGTGAGCTAAACAATGCATTCTGCTCTGGTGTGTGAAACAAGTGTGTTCTGTAACAGGAAGAAGGCAGCACAGTGATGTGGCCAGACCACCATAGCACCTACCAAAGGTGCCACTGCTGAGGTTAGGGACACTGGCTTTTAGGAGAGGAAGGGCCAGTGATGATATGGAGTTAGCTCAGTCAGCTACCTTATGCCCAGGTAGTTTTCCCCCAAAGTTCTCTGCTTCCTTTGTTCAAGTTATGACCCTCCAAGCAAACTTCTGAGGACCAACCAATTTTACTTCCCTTCCACCATCAGAAAGGAATATTCTGGGCAGAGATCAGGTATATCTTCACTGAATCCACTCATGGGGCCATTGGGAGGTTTAATGAGATCATGTGTGCAGAGTCTGGCCCACAGAGTAAATGCAGTAAAAGTTCAGTAAATGCAGATGGGTCAGTTTATTGGAACTCTGCTTTTGGTGACAATTTTAAGTAGATTTAGTGAAGGTGAACTGGCTTCCTGATGTCCAGATGCCTGATGAAGGTGGGTACCTTGATTCCATGATCGAGATGGGGAGGAGCCAATGGAGGTGTTGTCTCGAGAAGGGCCTAGCAAACATCATTGAGGCCCAGAGCCTCTGTAAATCATTATCACCTTCGAAATGCCTAGCACACATCTTATGTCATTTTGTAAAATTTTTTGCAATTTTTTTGCATGTACCTCTAATTCTAATTCCTTCAGTGTAAGTTCTTTGAGGGTAGGAGCTTTTAAGAGTCTTAAATGTCATAAATACTTAATGAGTTGAAATGAATTGGATCAAAGACCAAACAAACGACCTGGGTACAAACAAAGGTTCTAACATCTGTCTCCCAGGTGCCTAGAAAAGTGGGTGTACACATCTGGAAGAGGCTGGAGATTGCACAGGGGCAGTCCAGGAGAGCTAGCTAGGCTGAAAAATAATTGCTCAGCTCACCAGGAAGGACAGGGAAAAACAGACAAACAGAGAGCACAGAGGCCTCCACACTTACCCGGACCTCCGTCTGTACAGTGCATTTGACCAATTTGAAGTTCTTCCCAGGATTGAAGCTGTTGCTATAGAAGCAGACCTTGAGGATACGCACGTCTTCCTTCTCCACATCTACTGGTACCACCACCATGGGCTCCAGAGGGCCCTCAGGCCGGCGTAATGTGCCCACCTTTACTCGACTCAGGGGCTCGGACACCCCGGACATCCTCTCAGAGAGCCACTAGGACCAGCGCATTTCAGTCCTGCAGAAACAACAGAGGGGAAATCCTGAAATGAGTACCTATAAGCCACATGCCTCATCTTCCAGAGATGGCACCCACAAAGCTCCAAGATGGATGTAAACGACACATCCTCCTATTCTCCAAAGCCCTCCTTAATGGCAGAAGCTGCAGCCTATAGAAGCAGGATGCATGAACATGCAGGTATAAAATCTAGACTTGGAGCCCCCAAGCATGTGAACTCTCTCTTCTGGAAGCCCCCTCTCCCTCCCATTTCTCCCTACACCCGGCTCTCAGGCAAAGGGCCCACACTTAGCAAGCGCAGCTGTGAGAGGAGACAGCCACAGAATGGTTCCAGGGCACAGCAGAGCAGAAAAAGCAAGGAGTGAGACAGTAGAAAATAGCAGGAAAGAATCAGGGACAAGAGGGGAAGGCTAAGAAGAAGTGGAATTGCAGAATGGGTAGCCGCAGAGGAACTGGAACAGGGAAGGCAAGATAGGACCCAGGCCATTAGCTGAGGGCTTGTCTGCCCTCATCTTCAGCTGTCAGCCACAGTTTTCAGGGTCATAGCCTGGATCCCACAGAATTCATTGTGTACATCATTTCTCATCACAGGTAGGACAATTGAAGAGAATCAATGCCCTACTCCCTGCTGCCCAGGGTTCAAGATCATTCTGTAAGGGTAGGAGGGGGCTAGGCTAGACCTCCACAAGACTCAGCCCAGTACTGCTGATAAGTAGCTTTGCACAGATTCCAGGGATCTGTAGTTCACACTGGTCCTGCCTCTGGATCCAACAGGACTGTTAAGGGCTTACTTCCTGTAGATCTGAAGCATGAATGTCAAAGGTGACAAGGGAAGTTCTAGCTCAGCATCCATTTTTATGAGCTAATGTGCAGGAGGGGCTTTCATGAGGAAGATTTATGAGCTGAGAGTCTGAGGAAGGAAGTAGAGTGGTATATGTCTGTTCCCAGAGACTCACCCTACCTGCGAAGGACTGAATGTTTGTGTCCCACAACACTCATGTGCTAAAATCCTAGCCCCAAGGTAGAAATATTAGGAGGTGGTAAAGTCACGAGGTTGGGGCCCTCATGAATGGAATTAGCTTCCTTTTATAAGAGACCTGTCACCTGTGACCCTGTCACAGTAGGACACAGTGAGAAGTTGGCAACGGGAAACCAGGAAGAGGGCATTCACCAAAACCTGACCATGCTGGCATTCTGATCTTGAACTTCCAGAATTGTGAGAAATAAATGTTCGTCACTTAGAAGCCACCCAGTCAGGTACTTTGTTACAATGCCTAAACCAAGGTAGAAAGCTTAGGGCTCTACTAATAGAGGCCAACAGCCAGGCCTTTCTGAGCTTGTTGGGAAACCCGGCAGCAGCAATGCTGCTGTGTCATGCTGGTGGGGATAAGGACTAAGAGCTGGAAAGGCCATTATAACCATAGCCACAGTTCACACCATGTCTCCAGGCATCCACCATGAAGGGGACTGAGTGTGTCTGAAACTTTGGGACCTCTAAGAGGTGTCCCCTCAACCCAAGTAGCATTCTCACCCAAGGTCATAACTCCAATGAACATCCACCAGATACCCCAACAACCCTGGTGGAGTGTCAGAGACAGAATAGTTAAATAGGAATAATAAGTCAGTAAAATTCAAGCGATCTGGCTGGTGAGAGCTGGGAAAGTCCATGTCCACCTGCCTGGGGAGGAGAGTGGAGAAGGCCCCTCTGCGACAGGTAGATCACAGGAGCTCAAGAGTGGAGCAGGGGAGTTAGAAGCCCATGTCTACTTGGGACCAGGACAATGTCTGGCAGGGACATAGGTGCTTCAGAGCCTGGGTTCCTTACAGCCAAAGGCACAACAAAGGGAAGTGCTTTTTAATTCAAGGAGCCAAGAGGAAGTTAAAATAAATGTCAAGAGAACATGGGGTGACAGGAGTGCCATTTATCATTGCAGGTGGGGAATACAGAACGGTGCAGACATTTTGGGAGACTGCTTTGCAGTTTCTTACAAAACTAAACATACTCTGACTACATGTTCCAGCAATCATGTCTCTTGGTATTTACCCAAAGAAGTTGAAAACCTATGTCTACACAAAAACCTACACATGGATGTTTATAACAACTTTATTCATGATGACCAAAATGTGGAAACATCTAGGATATCTCTCAGTAGGAGAATGAATAACAAAGTGTGGTACATTCAGATAATGGAAATATTATTCAGCCCCCAAAAGAAATGAGGTATCAAGCCATAAAATACACAGAAGAACCCAAAATGCATATCTTTAAGTAAAAGAATCCAGTTTGAAAAGGCCACTTATTATATGGTTCCAACTGTATGGCATTCTGAAAAGGCAGAAATATGAAGACAGTAAAAAGATTAGTGGTTTCCAGGATTAAGAAAGAGAGAAGGATGAATAGACAGAGCACAGAGGATATTTAGGGCAATAGAACTACTCTCTATGATACACAATGATACAAAGGTCTTTGTACATTTGTCCAAACTCAGAGAAGGTAGAAAACCAAGAGTGAACCCTAGTGTCAATTATGATAATTATGTGTTCCGCTTTGGTGTGAGGTATTGCTACTGGTAGGGGAGCGGGGATTAATGCATATGAGGACAGGGGACAATAGGGACTCTCTGTATTCCCCCCATTTTGCTGTGAACGTTGCTAGAACTGCTCTAAGAACTAAAGTCTATTTAGAAGAGACTATAATGAGAAACACCACCTGAGTCATGCAAGTGGGTCAGCATGAGAGGTGAGTGTGTCTTGGCCTGACCGAGCAATGTCTAGTCCATTCAGGAGCCAGCCCTCATCTGGCTGTGACCAAATACTGATAATCTACATCTGACCAAATGCAGCCCACGCAGACTGACACTTCAGGCATCATCTACATGCTGGGAGGATGCTGGTTTCTTATCTTGATCAGCTTCTCCTGGTCTATCAATTGTGGTGGCCCTCAGGGCTCAGGCAGAAATATTTTAGCAAAGTCATTTTGGTCACCCACACTCTCCCTTTACCTTTAGCCTGATGCAAGCCCCTTGACTTTTAGTCCTTTGCAGAAATATGTATTCCAAGAAAACATAAAAAGAAACACAAATGCTCTGCACAACAATTCTGGAAGGTGGGCAGGAATAACAAGGCCCATTTTACAGATGGGAAACATAGCCAAGAAGGTTTGAGGTCAAACATGTTAAGAAGTGAACTTGAGGGGTGGGGACGTAGACCCCTGGTAGAGCGCTTACCTCATATGTCTGAAGCCCTAGATTCCATCCCCAGCATTGGTGGGGTCGGGTGGAGGGAATTGGAAAACTGGATCCCAAAGTAAGTTTGAAGCCAAATTTAAGTGTTTCCCACTTACCCAGCTGCCTCTGAAGAAAGTGGCTTCTCCCTAATGGTGGTATAAGCCCCACGCACGACAAATGTGTTGGCCTAGCAATGGATGTCCCAGCCCAAGAGGATTGCCACTCTTGTCACACTGGAACTTGTTTGCACAGGTCCTGATAAGACTCAGCCTTGAAAGGTAGGTGTTTGGTTGGAAGATGAAGGGCCAGAAAAGGCAGTGCCCATATTTCTATTGCCACCTGGCAGCTTCTTCGAGGGCATCCCAAACCGCTCACTGGTAGGTACAGATCTACAATGAGTTTCCACGACCCTCTAAAGCCAAGTAACTTTAAAGTGTCGTACATGGGGTCTCAGCCACTTGTCCTCAGTGTCTTGGGAAAATACACCCCTCAGCCCTCATAGTCTTCTCTTACATTCACTCTGTGTTCTGGTCCCAGCCAATTTTCTAGCTCTAAAATCTTGTACAAATAGCCTCTCCCGGCCTCATTTTTCCCACCTGTAAAATGGGGGCAATGCTACCTACCCTGTTTCTCCTGTAGAAGGATTTGAGGAAGTTCATTGTAAGTAATAAGGCGCAACTCAATGGAAAGTCTCTCTCATTATGGTTATGCCTTGCTTATTTTCCAAAAGTTGCATGACTATCTGCATTCTCCTATTTTGTTCCTCCTGGTAGTAGCTCTTTAGGGGAAAAAAAATTCTAATTTTCAGCATTTGCCAATTTCCATCCCATAAATATTCCTACTGTGGCTGACTTCAGGCTATCAATGTATGCAACTGAATGCATAGTGAGGAAAAGAAGCGAACGTCCTCTAGGAGTCTCCAGCTCCTATTCCTGACAACAGAACTTGTCTGTTCCTTCAAATTTTGCCCGATTTTTAAAATTTCTCATCAACAGCCTGTCTCTGGTGTTCCATGATCACAAAGTCCTCTGACCTTCAACTTGTGAGTCCGATGCCTCCCAGACCTCCTTCCCGGTTCTCCCAGTCCTGATGATTTGTCATCCCTGTGTCCCAATCTGCCCTAGCCCCTTCAAGTGATGTCAGAGGCTTGTACATGCAAAAAACCCTGGCCCTGAGCCACACTGGACTCCAGCTTGGCCTCCCCACCCCCGGATCTGCCTAAGTCACAATCAAAGAATAACAAACACAAGGAAATTGGTCCAAGTTAAAACAGGAAAAATTTTGATTGGCTATAAGAACTTCTTGACCCAAACCCACAAAGGGCACTCAAGGAAGCTGCTCATTCTTCAAGTCTTTGAGAATCTTCAGGAAGAAAATAAATTAGGCTCTTCCTGAATGGTAAGACATTTACCTGCCTGAAGGAGGAGGAACTGAAGCAGGATTTAAGACCTTACCAGATGCCCCATTTGTCACAGTACCTAACACTATGCTCCTGTCCTGGGGAAGATGCTAGAGTTAAAGATGGTTCCTACCATGGAAGACATTGTGGGCTAGTGTTATCTCTCACTGAGTATATACTACGTGTAGGGTGTTTATGTATGTCATCCCTTATTCCCCAGAAAAATTCTTCAGATGGGTAATATTAGCCTCATGCTCTAAGAAAAAATGAGAGGCCAAATGATGTTACTCTGTTCAGATCACACAGCTGGAAAGTGGCAGTGACTTCGGGCCACCATATTGCCTAATTCCAACATCTATGGTGAGTAATGCCCTGCTGGTGTATCGTGCAGCCCTGAGGACACGGATTTTAAACCCAGATCAGAATGAGTCAAGTGTGTGAGGCTTCTTCTTCCCAACGTCACGTATACTGCTCTTCTGACTAACGCCAATTACCAAAAGTCGACTGACTGGTGTCATGTCCTGCCGCCGTGCTTGGAGGTTAATGTCAGTGCTCTGCCATTGACTGGCTCTGATGTCAGGGGACATATGTTGCATGGGTCAGTTTCCACATGGTGGTTGGTACATTGATGGTGGCCTTGATAATGTTTCCACAAGTCCATGAAAAATGGCACAAAGCAGAGACTTCATCATAAAGCTTACTGTATATAAGGTGAATGATGGTCTTTCACCCTGGTACCACGCCTTCTGATTTTCCCAATTTACAATGCTCACTGGTTTATGAAAGGACAATAGTAGTTTTGGACAATGTTAGCCACAGGTTTCTATAGGTTTCCAGCCATGTGATCTGGACAAGGTGACCTCTCTAAGCCTCAGTGTTCTCTCTTGGGGCATGAGGCTAATAATATCTACCACAGAACATTCTGAAGAATCAAAGGTTACCTCTGTAAAGCCCCTGACATATGTATTTTTTAATCGATTATTTGTTTATTTTAGGTGGGACTGGAGTTTAAACTCAGGGCTTCACACTTGCAAAGCAGGTGTTCTAACTTCTTGACCTACACCTCCAGTCCATTTTGCTCTGATTTTTTAGAGATGGGACATGGACTAGCCTTGAACCATGATTCTCTTGATGTCAGCTTCCCAAGTAGCTAGGATTACAAGCATGAGCCATGGGCCCCAGTAACTTTTTTTTTTTTAAATACCTGTGAATTTGTTGAAGAAAGAACTGGAAACCTAAAAGCTAGACCCTCTTTTAAAAATCCATCTTGGTTTTGCAAGTGTAGGACCAGATAGTGATGGCATTCCCCTCTGTCTGCAGTGCTCCAAGGCTGCCTTTCACCAAGACCACCTTCCTCCATCTACCTGTGCACCTGAAAAGATCACCCCTTCCTTCTATTCTGTTTACTCAAGGCCCCTTATCTGGCCTGAGAACATACAGAAGTGTGTTTCATGGCAGGGAGCCTCAAAAACAGACAGTCCAAGTGCCAGCCCCTTGGGTCTAGCAGAAGTCAGAGGGTCACGAGAGGCACACTTTATTTCCACTCTGTTTCTGAGTCACTTCCCCTGGCTGTTTCCACATCAACAAAATGGGGAACACAGGCCTTTCTGTTGCAGAAGCCTGCTGGGCACAGCCACTTAACTAATTGCAATGACCTTGCAGGATCTGGGAGCCATTCCTGCGTTTCTGATCCCTGCTGGCTCCATGCAGCACTCCCTCCCTAACCCAATCCTCCCCCTTCCTCCTATTCCCAAGGGCCAGCATTCTGAGGCTCCAGGGCCACCAGCCCATCATTTGGTTAATCCCTTCCCTCCTCTCTAAGCACCCCTCCCCACCTTGCAAAAGAAGGAACTAGAAAGGTTGTGATTATTGCCAGCTATAATTCAGTGGAATTCAAAAAGCATTTGTTGAGACTCTATCACATTTTTAGCCCCCCACCCCCACATCCATTACCCACCAGGAGTCGTTCTGCTGCCAGCATCTGCTCACCCAGAGGCCAGCTAACTCGGGGTGGCTCTCAGGAGGACAAGAGGGAGCAGCAGGGATGCGGTATCCGCCTGCCTTATTGCAGGAACATTTGTTCCTTTTCCCTCCAGTTTGATCTCCGGGTTCCATTGCTTTCCTGACCCTTCCAAAAAAAATCACAATCCCAAATTGGGTGTGGTGGTACACCTCTGTAATCCCAACATTGAGGGGGAGGAGGCAGAAGGATGTGAGGCCAGACTGAATTCTATAGCAAGGCTTTGTCTAAAAAAATATATATCATAATCCCGTTGCTCCTTATTTGCCTATTTTCTCCTTCCTCCCTTATTTTTCCTGTCTTCAGTTTTCTCTCTCCTTTCCTCCTCTCCCTCTCTCCCTGTGTTTTGGGAACCACACCATTGCTTGAAGATACAGAGATAAACAGAGGAAAGGGAGTCTCTGTCCAACAGGAACTCATTGTCCAGAGAGAGGAAAAATACAACACACATGCAGGTGTGCACACACGCACACCCACACACCTACACACACATACAGTCACCACATCCTATGGACTCCAAAAGGTCTCTAAGCTTAGTGTCAGAGAACCACGGAACAGAACTTGCCTTTGGGGCTTTAAGACTCCAGAAAAGTGTGACCAAGAAAGATCAGCAAACTGAATGATATGATAGGGTCTGGGGAAGACAGTGGGTGCAGTGTCACTGGAAAACAAGACTAGAAGGGGCAACATATGAAGGAACTTGAACTTCATCCTGTGGGAAGGCAGATTTTTATCTTAAAACTGTGAATCTGGCAAAAGGATGATGCCCAGGCCTTCCCCAGAGGCAGCAGGAGTGGTTGGGATAAAGGCTGGTGCCTGCTTAGTCAGTGACCATCCAGAAGATTTATCTGGTCTAAATACCTCTATCCTGGCCAATTGTAAGCTACCAGTGGGCCCTCACAGAAAGCAGACTTGGGGAGAAATGGGAGTCCTTGACCTCTGAGAGTTGGGTGCAGTCCCCCCACTGCCTGATAGTGAGAGACTCCAGCAGAGGACAGCAGGTCTTAGGGTCTCTGGTTTCCTGCCCACCTCTGACCCTTGATGTCCACCTGGTATCAGAAGTGGTTTCGCCAGCCAGCACTGCAAGGCACAAGAGTGCTCATTGTATGGAAGTGTGGAGCCTGAAGACATACCCCTTCCTCCACAGGCTTCTGTCACTCTCTAATCTCCTAAAAGTTAGAACTTTGTCATCTGTAACACAAACTAAACTCTCAGCCAACTTCTCCACTTCCAATTGTACTCTCAGCTTTGGCCTTCGCTTCTGGCCTCTAACCCCAGCAAACCTCATTTCCCTCTCTTGAGTGAGATGCAAAGCTGGTTGTTGGGCAGGGAAATTTGATACCACAATGAATCATTGCTTTGGTTGGGTGTTTACATTCTTTCCCATTTTCTTTTCTTTTCTTTCTTTCTTTTTTTTCGGTGGCACTGGGGTTCAAACTCAAGGCCTTACACTTGCTAGGCAGGCACTCTACCACTTGAGCCACTCCGCCAGCCCTTCTTTTTTATGTTGGGTATTTTCAAGATAGGGTGTCTCAAACTATTTGCCTGGGCTGGCCTTGGGCCATGATCCTCCTAATTTCTGCCTCCTGAGTAGTTAGGATTACAGGCTTAAACTACTGGTGTCTGGCTTTCCCCTATTTTCTTGAGAGGCTAATGAGGAGGTCAGTTGATAGACAGGAAAAGTCAAAGTGGCCAAAATTCTTCTTTCAAAGACTGCTGATCAAATGTCCATATTAACCTGGTAGGAGTCAATTGCATTTAATTGTCCTTTGTCCATGCCTTTTAACTTGGTATTAAGGCATTCATGGTTACCAAATGAAAAGCACCAGCAGGCACTGGTGGCTTACACCTGTATTCCTTGCTATTTTGGAGGTAGAGATTAGAAGAATTGCAGTTCAAAGCCAGCCTGGGAAAATAGTTCTGTGAGACCCTATCTTGAAAATACCTAACACACAAAAACAGCAAGCTGGTGGAGTGGCTCAAGGTATAGGCTCTGAGTTCAAACTCCAGCACCACCAAAAAGAAAAGCACCAAATTGAGCACAAGAGTAGGAGAGATTATGGCTTTGACAACAGATCAAAGAGGATTCCTAAAATCCTTAGTGGATTGGCAAGGCAAACCAAGCTTAACAAAATAGGATATTGTGAAATAGGATAAATGAGATGTTCTTCTGTAGATTAAAAAATATTTTTGGCTTGGTGTGGTGGTACATACCTATGATTCCAGCACTTGGAAGACAGAGGCAGGAGGGTCTCAAGTTCCAGAATGGCCTGGAGTACACAGCAAGACCCTGTCTGAAAAAACAAAAAATGAATTTAAAAGAATTGTTTTGTCCTAATCTGGGATGAGGAAGATGTGGTTTAGCAGCGCAGGGATTAAAAAATAGGCTCAACGCTAACTGTAAGTTTATTGTTAGTCACTGCGATGTGGCTGCCAGAAAATGTTAATGCAGTCTTTGGGTTTCTAGAAAAATTCCTAAAAGAAGTGATTTCTCCTACGATTTGTCCATATGTGGCCACAGCTCTGCGCTGCCCACTATGGGCCCTGAGGCTTCAGAGTCTGTGTAGGACTTAGAACCTAGGGACACCAGCACATGGTGTGGCCCTAAAACAAAAGGGAGACGTGAGACCTGGGAAGGCAGGATGGATTGCTGGCTTCAAATGGCTGTAGGACTGCCGTGATAGTCCCATCCATCTCATTACAAGTCAAGATTTGTAAGAATGTGACAGAAGGACCTTTATTTGCACAGTCATCTTTCGCTCTCCTCAGGGGATTGATTTCAGGGCTCTGCCAAATGTCAGAATCAAGGATGTTCAAGCACCTTATTAAAAAGTCATCCAACCTATGCACATCCTTGGGTATATTTTAAGCCATCTCTATATGCCGTGTACCTAAACAATGTAAGTGCTGTCAATAGTTGTTTTACTCTACTATGCAGGAAATAATCAAGAAAAATGGCTCTGTACATGTTTAATACAGACACAATTTTTTCAAATATTTTCAAAACTTGGTTGAATCCGTGGATGGGGAACCCTCGGATACGGAGTATCTCTTTATCATGTATGCACCTTGCTACTTTGCCATTGTCTGCCAAGGCAGATGTCCCACCCCTCTTGAAGATGACGAAAAGTGACTGAGCCAACTAGCCTAGGGAATCCTTTCTTAAGAGACAGAGGCTGAACCCAAATTCATATTTTCCACCTTAACCCAACAAACCCAGCGCACACACAGCCTAAACCCCATTAGCAAGCCTTCCCCTTTGGGCTTTGTCTCTGTGCCAAAAGACAGTTCATATGAGCACTGCTTTTTTCACGCAGCCCCCAAAATTCTGCTGAAACAAAAACTCCTCCCAGTAACCTCCTCTGTTCCTAGCCATGCAGCCCTGAAAGGAATGCAGGCTTTCAACACAGTAATGTACAATAATGAGAATTTTTATTTTATTAAGATGTCTTAAATGATAAATTTATTCAGTAAAAATGGTAATAAAAAGAAAACTCAAGTACTTAGTTTTAAAGCAGAAAATATAAACACAGGTCTAACAGCATACTTATTCTCATTCATCACCAACTTAAAAACAACAAAAATATCCCCTTGAACAAACTTCTCCACCTGCCACTCTGAAAATCCAGTATATAACAAAAATCTGCTTTATGTAAACATATATCAAAACTATTAAACACGGCGATGCCCCCATCTGTACACTGTGGCAATCAGACTTCGTTCTAATGCGACTTGAATAAAGCAACACTTTAGTCAACCTGTCAAGCAAACAGGATGCCACCTGTGTGTGAAAAGACTTGGGGGGGAAAATGAAATAGATTGAAAAACCTTCAATGGTTAAGAAAGCTAATGAAAACAACTTGAAGGAAAACCAACTACAAAAATCATTGACCAAGCCAAGAGACCTAAAGAAAGATAAAAAAAAATCTTATGTTTATGAGAAACCGGTACAGTTGCCAATTAACTCAGAAATAGCAGCTAGTTATGGATGAAATACTTCACACATGTTGACCTGGTCCCCAATTTTGGGAAACATACCCCATAAATCTAAGGCATGGGGTGTGGATGGTTTGCACAAAGATGTTCACAGCTGTACTATTTATCAGTGAAATAATGAGAATCAGAACCAAAGGCTCAAAGATGTGCTCATGGGGACATCTAAGAAATATTGATAACGATAAACTATGATAAAAATATAAGGAGTAGTGGAACACAAAAAGATGCACATAAAAATGTTAAGTGACAGAGAATGGAATTTACATACGGATTGTAACTACATAAAAACACATCCCCATTTAGAATTACATGCCGTTAAAAGAACTTAAGTTCTCTTACTGCTATATTGGTTAAATATATTTAAAAATATGTGCAGTCTGTCCCACCAGGCTAAAGCTAGCCCTTTTTTCTGAGCATCTGCCTCTAGCTCCTTTTCCTACAGCACGACTTCCTGTCCTCCCCATGCAGCCTGCAGAGAAAGGCCAATCTTCTTACCACAAAGCCAGACTAGGCAGCAAGCAGGGCCCTACAATTTTCATTTCTGGATTCCATCCCAAATCAGGACTGGGATAGGTAACATAAAGACGCAATCAATGAAGCCTGGCAAGGGAATCTGCCACCACTGGAAGTGTCCTTGACAATCAACAGTCCTCCAGGAGCCTAGAGCAGGTGGCTAGACCTCAAAGATCTTTTCCACACTAAGTCCTCGGTTCTCTCTCTAGCCCCGAGACCATGAGTGTCCATGCATCCTCTTCTTCTCTGCTCCATGCTGCCAGTGAAGACTTGTTTCTGAGACATCATCTGGTATAGCCCCATGTTGGGCGGGCAATTGGCCGGCATGAGGAGCCCTTCCATTCCAGCAACAACTTCAAAGGCAGGTACAGTTATCTCTCATCTTGTGCAGAAGGAAACAGGTGCTCACAAGTCACTCCCCAAGGGCCACCGTGCAGACTGTGATTTGAATAGAGTGGGACCAGGCACTTTGCTGCCACACCCTGCTGTAATGGAGAGCCTGGCAGTGAGCCAGAGCTGGGCCTGCTTTGAGGAAGGCCTCAGCCTCCACTCACACCAGGGTAGTGTCCTCTGGGGCCCAGGATTTTAATGCTGAGAACTGTTGCTGTTAGACCAGCAGCATAACCTTCACTAGCAATGGTCCATGGGCTCTTCACATGCCCAAGCTGGTGTTACCAGGAGATAAGGTGGGCTCTTCCCTGCCTTAGTGCCACACGCCTTCATGGAGACCTCTGAAGGTCAGCCATTTATATTTTTAAGTAATATTCCAGGTGATTTTTTCCCTTGTTTTGGTTTTTCAACTCAGAATCTCACTGTGTAGCCCAGGTTGGCCTTGAACTCCCAACCTTCCTGCCTCAGCCTACTGAGTGCTGGGATTATAGGTGTGGACTGCCACTCCTGGACCCCAGGTGATTCTTTTTTAGTTAATTAATTAATCTAGTTATTTTGTTTATTTTTGGGGATGGAGTCTCCTGATGTTGCCCGCTGACTTCAGACTTCTAGTCTCAAGCCATCTTCCTACCTTTGTCTCCCAAGTAGCCAAGACTACAGTGTGTGCCGCCATGCCTGACTTTGAGTTAAAGTCTTTTTCACTTAAATTGCATCTATGAAGGTATACCGTGTGCTTTGTTATGGCTATTTTATAACTCAGTCTCCTTTCACAGAGCTACCATTTGTGTGTGTGATGTGAACAAATGGATCTCCTCTTGGCACTGTCGAGTACATGCTCTAGGATGATTAATCACAGCTCATTAGATCTCTAGGACTGACTCACGGTATATCACTGACACTTTGTCTCTTGTGGACAGCATCTCTGCACATCTCTGTCCCTGACATTCCAGTGATTACGACACCTGCCCAGGGAGAGGGAGGAACTGCCAGTTAGGTGCCCTTGTCTTACTGGTGAGGACTGAGATGGGGAGGCTAAAAGTGTGATCTCTCAGCAGGAGCTCAGGCCCCCCAGTTCCCAGGTGGCAGACTCCGCCAGGCTGTGGTTGTGACATATCTCAGCGGTTTACAGTTCTTAAACCTTAAACGCAGGCCCTTTCTAGGTGTCTCTAAGCCTCTTATTTCAGGGTAGCATGGTGTTTTCTATTTTAGTGTTTTCTTGTTACCCAACCCCTCTACTGGGAAATGGACAGAAAGAGAACAAACAGGTGATTTCAATTATTCAGTGCTCAAAAACTTTGGGGGGAATTTTGGTCTTCTATAACTTCAGCCATGAGAGTTCACAGTAGGAAAAACCTGGGTGCAGAGCCAGAAACCCCCACTCTTTTGTAGCAACTTCCCAATGGCTGTTCGAACAGCAGCAGGAGTTTCTTCCTGCTTAGAAACTGAAGTAAAAGACAAAGGGAAAACCCAACTGGAAAGGTCCTGGGTGTGAAAGGGAGTGAAATGACTGCAATGCTTTCAAAAGCTCTATGGACCCAGAGTCAGGCATCTAAACTAGAGCTCAGTAGACACGAATGGGCAGGGAAGGAACCAATTCTCAGAGTCCCCTGCAGACCAAAATTTGACTGGCACGGCCCTGAGAATTGGACAGACACCTCAGCAGTGTGCACTCAGAAGGTGAAATAAAAGCAAGGTGCTTTTGCCATAGTTCTGTCTCACTCCAGTGCAAGGCCTCACTCAGAAAATAATTCTTGTGTATCCTAAAAAGTAATTAATAAACAGACTTGGGCATGTTCAATTAAAGTAATATAAAAACTCCAAAGAATATATACATAATTGCTATACCATTCTGTTTCCGTAGTCACAGACTATGAGGAGAGACAGAGAAATGAAGACAGTAGTAGAGTTAAAATTAAGTTTTCCCTTTTAATGTTGACTTGATTTCAACAACAAATACTTATAAAGGATCACTTTGGCTACCTTTTGTATTCAGATACACTGACAGAAATATGAAAACAATGAGGGATCTACGCCCTCCCTTCTGGCCCCCCAGCACCTATACTCCCCGTAGGGAACAGGGTAGTCAGAATCCTGGCTTTCACCTATAAAAGTCATGAACCCAGCTTCCTCATGTCAGATGTAAGTCTATGTCTGGCTTAACGGTCAGTCCCTTTCTTCCTTCAGCACTCTTTTGTTGAGGTTTCCAAAGAACACAGGAAGTCAGAAAAAAGAACAGCAACCCACTTCTCTACAGCTCACTGCAGACGTGGGGGTGGGGGGTGGAAGAGAGAATAGAGCAGAGGGTCTCTGGGGACTTGGGCAGGTGGCCTCCTGGCAGATAAGGGAGGGAGGAGTAAAGAGAGTGAGGAGGAGCAAATGTGAGGGTTATGTCCAC